AAAATTTGATGAATTCATGACTGTTTCTATAAGAATTTAACACTTCATTTCGCTTTTTCAACGATGCACATTCTTTCTCCAAAGCATTTCCCGTGCCAGTCATCCAGCCTGATATCCAACTGGGAGGCACGAGCATACCCCGCGATCTACTTCGCCCCTCCCCTCCCCCTCCGCGACCACCAACCCATCCCTTTCTCCTTCCCCCTCCCCATCTGCGTCCGCGCTCATGCGCTGCGTCTCTGTTCTAGACGGGCCTTAGGATCTGGCGCGTGCTGCAAGTAGGTACCCGCGGGCCAAGGCTCGGCGGCCGCCTCCCCGCACGACGCATGCCTCCCTCTCACTCGCTCATTTTCACTCTCCATTCGCATCTTTTCAGCGATTTCCACCCTGTCATCGTGCAGTTTCATGTTCGTACGGATGAATCTAGGAGATATAATATTCCACATGTTAATAGCTTTTCTAAAATGATCTTATCAGTGCATGTCGTGAGACTTCTTTGCTTAATTATTAAGGGGTAATGTGTACTCCTGAAAGTAATGGTTTTAAAATTAGAACAAAGTGTTAATGATAATTTACCTTTTTATTTTGGAAAGCATTTAATTTTTTCGCAGAATTAAAATTACGCAAATAAATGTTTAATTTAATTTTACCTTAAATCGAATATTATATTCGTTTGTATTTGTCCATGTGGTAAAACTTCAACGTGACATGGGAGAATCGTCTTACAATAGTGTACGTTAATTTGTGGAAGATTACTTCTCTTTGTTTCATTCGTAAGTTTTCACATGCTTTCTCTCACATAACCATATCCAACTCCATTTTATTTTCACAAAGTTTCTGAAATCTAGTAAATGGCAGAAATGTCGTTCAGTCAGGTTTTGATCGGAATTATATAAAAGTAACTTTCACAGTACTGTGGGTCATTACATATTTATAACTGCATGAAGTAAGTCGAAGCCTTATAAAGCTATTATATTATTAAAAAGCGTATATATTATTAAAAACAAATTATTTCTACTTGTTTTGTGACAATGAAAACTACATGCTCTAATGAATTTTTTTTATATGTATATGGTCCCCGTAACCTGATTTGAGAAAGCATAAACGCGTAGCAGGGTGTAGTTTCCCGAAAGAACACAATTAATGAAATATAACTAAGTAAATCAATTCAACATGCATTAATGATAACAAACTGGTCAGAATACAATCCCTTCTGATCGAACTTGACTGAACGATATTTCGGCCTGTATTGGATCCATTCACTGGAAAATAATCATGGGCAGCAGAAAAGTTTGATAGGTGAGATCTCATTCTGCCCTCCCCCATCTTCTCTGTCTTTCACTGTATCCTCGTGCGCATTGCTGGATGTGTGTGTATGTAGCAGCTCTGGCACCAGCCACGCCACGCCACGCCACGCCCCCAACCCCAAACCCCGCACGCGCTTTTCAGTCAGCCGCCGCGGGGGCAGCACGCGCCGGAGGGCGCCGATCCCCTCCCCTCCACACCACTCCCATGCCCTCCTCTTCCCCCTTCTCCTTCCATGGCCCTCGGGAACATTTCATTTTAAACCGCTCTATTGAAACGCTTATTTGATGCTTCCTGTGTGACGGTTTTCTCTCTGTTGAACAGATGGAGATGCATCTTCACAATGAAGTGCGAGAGCTACAATTTTTCAAATTGAATAAAGGGGCCAATGACGATAAGACTCAATATTCAATAATTATTTTAATCGATGAGAAACTTGAATCAATCTTTTGTCAAGAATAGAAGTCAATTATGACACGTACAACATTTTCATAAGTAATAAATGAATGTATGCATATTTGGCAAAGTTAAACCAATATGATGGTGGTGTAAAATGAATGCAAATGTTTCAAGTGTTGTATTTAAATGTCATTGTTGCTGAAAAATATTTAGAGAAAGGGTAACTATAGATATTTAAAAGCCATTTCAATCTAATAAATTTGTTCTCATTATCAAGAGAGACTATCATACCATGTAATTAAAAATGATACTCAAACACATCATTGATGTTCAGACAGATGAGCCTGAGACGGGTATTTCATGCAAGGCTTCTCATAACAATAAATTTCATGATCACTTATTTTAATTGCGTATTTCACAACGTGCACATGGTGGTCTCCACAGATATACGTCAGATCGTCACGAAGCTTTCGTCGGAAAGGTCTTTCCTGTGAGTCACCCTTTTCCCCGTCGCCCTTCATCGCCCTCCGATCGCTCCCCCCCCTCAGCCACCCCCAACCACCATCTCGCCCGGCGGCCTCCTGCGAGCGTCTCCGCCTGCCTTTGGTGTACGTTGCAATGTCGTGTCTTTCTCTTTCTCTCCTTCCTGTCTCTGATCTGTTATTTCGTGCGTCCCTTCCAACTCGTGCAAACATCAATTATCGTGAGAACTGTTGAGCCTCATTGAACGTTGAATATATTTTTTTAATTCAATCTCAGTGGTTTTAAACGTTCACAAAACTTGAATTACCTATATTGTATTTCGATTTTCTTCAACATTTTTACTTTACGAAGTATAAAATATTAAAGTGTGATTTTAAAATGGTGTAATCATTTCGTGAATTGCTTTTCCACACGGAGAAACCAAATCCGTTTTCTTAAAGATGACGTCCTGTGACAATTTTTGCTGCTGCAGTCACGCAGTCAGCCAGTCAGCTGTAATGCGCTCACAGTTCTCACAGCGCTTCCTTCCGCCGTTTATTGTTACTGAAACAAAGCCCTCTGTTATCGGGATTTTCTTCCTAGGCTGGAAGTGCTGGTGTTTCTCGCAAGAGACTGAGGGGACGCGCGGAAGTTCTTTCTTTTTTCCTCATTTTTATTCTCCATCGCTTTTTGTACGCTGTCGCACTTCTCTCCGGCGATCGCTTCTGTGGATGCGCAGCTTGGCAGTGTGTCAGTCGCCGGCGTCGCGCTGCAAGTCCGGCAGGCACAGCGGTTGGCGCCGGCGCCCGCGTGGCGGGCTGCTGACGTCAGCAAACGGCCCCCCAGAGCCCATATATTCCGCCACCCGCCCCCTTCCGCTCCTCCCGTGCCACTCCCATCGGCGATTCGACCCTGTGTTACAGCCCACGTACGGATCATGTTCTCCTTCTATTCTGTTGTTTCCTTTCCTCTTCCGTCCTTAACTATACGTTTGCCTATTTTGTGTTTCCTATGTACGCTCTTTTCCTTTATCATGTATACTTTCTTAAAACAATTTAATCTAAAAGTTTCTCTTTTTAAGTTCATTCCTCTTTTTCTTTTATTTTTCTCTCTCTGTCCTCTCACCCTTTCTTCTTGTTTAACAATCTCCCCGTCCCCATTTTATGCCTATTTTCTCACCATGTTTTCTCATTTCCTTGTTTTAATACGACATCTATGCTGTTCTCTCTTTATTGTTACAATCTTCCTTGAGTTTCTTTTCTATCATTAAACTAATTTCTTCCTCATGTTCTATCCCCCCGGAATTTTTATCTTGCTTCACAACTAATTTATTCTGTCATAGTTTTTACGTTTTCAGGTTTCCACCTTCTTATCTCTTACTCTTCTTTATTCTTCTTTCTTATTGACAGGCTCTATTTTTCCTTTATTTCGTTATCTATTCATATTTATTGATTTGTGTCAGTTTTTTTCTGAATTTTGATCTATTTTACGTCTTTTTGCGTCTCTGGCATTAAACAAGAACCAAATAATTTTCTCATATAGTTTTCTCAATTTATGTGTCTATAGTTTCTCGTTCCCTCCTCCCTCAGTATCTCTTTCTTCACCTTTTGTTTACCTATCCCTCCCTCTCGCATTCTTCCTCCCTCTTTCGCTTTCTCCGTCTCTCTCTTATTCTTCGTCCCTCTATCATTGCGTGTTCTCCTTTCTCTCTCTTGAAATTTCGTTTACTGTTTCTGTTTCTATTTTTGCTTTTCTCCATACTCCCACTATTTTTCACTTTTTACCCCTTTTATTTTATTACTTCCTTGCCCCATGTCTTTCACTCGTTCTCTTTCCTTAGCTCTCCCTCTCTCTGCCTTGTTCGTCCTGGTACTGCAGCCGGGTGAGTCGGGCGCGGGCAAAGCCGCTGATCCAGTGGCCTAACGATCACGCCGCGACCCAAAGCCGCGGGCGCAGCGGGGCGGCGTGTGCCGGCTCTTGGGAACCGCTACCGCTGGCTGGGCATCCGAATGCGAGGGCGCGCCCCCACCCGCGCAGGGTTCTTTTCTCTTGCCAAAACAAGAGAGCAACTCGCAACATGCTTTAAAGTGCCTGATTTATGTCTTACATTGAGGGAAGTGGTTGCACATTTCCTAGCCAGCGGTTCAATATTTGCGAATTTAATGTTCAGGTTAACTTTTATGCGCACGTTGGTGCCTAAAACGAACTTCAATCTCTAGAGAATATCTCAGAACGATTTTTTAAATGCTTTGGTAACACTTGATTGAAAAAAAAGTAAGTTAAAACATGTAAATGTAAAAATATGACTGTGAAGAGCACAACAGTTCTTAAAGTTATCTGCTCAATCAAATCATCTTTCGAAATAAATCATTCCCATTAACGTACACGAATAATAAATAATTCTATCTCTGTTGATTATGAGTTTATCAATTTGTTAAGCTGTGAACATAAAATTGTAGCGGTATTTTAAAATTCCTCTACTGATCCTATGTGGCTTTCTCTCCAATTCCTTATAGTCTGAAAATAGACATCGTTCAGTGTTGTCCCCATGGAACCCGCCATAAAATGGAAAAATCAAATATGCTAACGGATGCAGCATGAGCATTCTTTACTGCTTTCTGCTTTCAGCCTTTCACTGCTTTTGACAATGCCGCAGCGATTTCAGTGGCCACTCTTCCTGTTTCTCTTCTGTTGATCGCCATGATCGATATCAATTTGGAAATCGCACAATAGCGCCAGTCACAACGATTGCAAAGCGCATTGACACATGTTTTTATTGGTGAATTTGATGTGGTTTAACATCTTAAATGTAACGTGTTCTCTCCCCACCGTAGGCACGCCTGTGGGTGCAGGTTATCCACGAACTGCGACATGGAGTCAAGTTAAAGAAAGTCTCGTCGCAATGTTGCCAACGCACACCTATCGAGTTCGAGCTGACACCTTACGAAATACTCATGGACGATATTCGGTCCCGAAGATATAAGCTGCGGCAAGTCATGGTGGATGGCGAACTTCCACCCCGAGTCAAGAAAGACGCACACGCTGTGATCCTCGAGTTCATCAGGAGTCGACCGCCGCTTCGAAGGGTAAGAAACGACCAAGGAGGCAGAAAACCTTGTTTCCCTGCATTTGCAACACGTAAGAACCCAATCACTTGTCACAAATATGTCAGGATCTTAGTCTTAAATAACTCGTCAACACTTTTTCACCAAATTTTTGTTGAGAAAATAATTATTATGTTAACTTTGAAAACTCTTGAACAAACTGAATAGCTTAGTTGAATAGTTAATAAAATATTTCAATAAATTGAATATTACACAATAAATAAAATCTTACCAACGTGTGCAATTCCTTACCATCGTGAACAATTCTAGACTAGGTGATATGTGATTATTGGAATATTTTACGAGTTTATCATGTATTAAAAACACTGAAAACACTGAAAATATTGAAAATGGCACATTCTGTAACAAAATCCCGTAACTTTCGATATGAAATGGTTTTAGTGTTCCAAAACGGCAAATTTTTTAAACTAACCGTTTAGTATATGTATGAAATATGTTCAAAAATTACATGCAAAACGTACACAAATACTAGCACATATTTCAGTATTTTTATGAGCTCGTGAACGTCCGGTAACACACGCGAAGTCGTTGACCTGCATATGAATACGGACCCACGATTTCCGCGAAACCTAGCAATTCAGTGAACTAGGTACTACACAACACGCGACGTCCAGTAGTGTGTGTGGTCGATGGAAAATTATATTTTCCCCATCGGAGCAATCAACAGGACGTTAATAAAAAATATGAAATATTACAAGTAGTACTTACTTTGTTCTGAATCTTCTTACATTTATTGATCTTGATTATGAGAAAACAAATTTCACTTTTAGTATAATTATTTAGCATAAAATATACGAAATACAAAACAGTGCTGACAATTGCTAGAATCATCGAGACGACTCGTACTCAAATGAAAATTCTGTGGAAATGAAAATCCTGATATACTATTATCCGTTCTCAATTTCGTATTATATTTATTTGTCGTAATCTTCATATTATTTTAAGTAATTCGAAATTCGTAAAGCTAAGTTTTTTCAAAGAAATCCATTCTTCTTCAATCTTTGTAACTTTATACGCTTGCAAGAAAGACGAGACATTTGAACAAGAGTGAGGATCAGTGGTGAGAAGCAACGACAGAGAATTCTAATTAGGACAACAGCTCTCATTCTCGTGAAAAAGAGAGAAAAGCCCGAACGAGATGCCTTAGTTGGAAGTGCATTTCACGTAATTCTGGAGACGCGAAGCACCGGGAATTTGCTCTTATCTTTTTCAACATGGACTAAGAGAGATGCGCTGACTGTTCGTTAGCATTTCCTGCCATTTTGATGTAAAAACTTTTCAACTATGTATTCACTTTCTTAGGAATCTGACATCAACTCCTAATTGCTCCAACACATCTTAGTATAATAATCAGCACACAAAGTTCCATTTCTTCCATTCAACAATTTAGCTTCTAATTTTCAGGACTATAAAGTTGAAGTTTGCTGTACTTTATATAACGTTATATAGTAGCAATTTTGAGAACAATCTAATATTTATTTCATTAATACGTGTCTACTGTAAAGTTTAAGTCTGTAAACTTTGATGAGAAGAGAAACATATATATTGCTTGAAAATATATCAACAAATTCCTGTAAATTAATAAAATGTCTTCATTAGAGACGAATAATTTACCGGCTAGTAACGTGTTTCACCATCAAGTTTTCTGGACACTTTATCAGCCAGCTACTCCAAACTATTTCTACTTATCTTATTATCAACCCGTATAATTTTTCCAGCTTTGCCCTTTTATTTCTCGCAGTACTTCGGTGTGGGTTATTGACACTAATGTTGTGCGTTGTACGTTGTTCACAGGCTTCGCAACGCAAGCTCAATCCCCCGCCCAAACGCGCCGCCACTCCCCGCGAGATGCTGCTGGACAGCATAAAGAGGAGCGGCATGCACAGACTGCGGCGATGTGAGTGCTTACGCTACTTATTTCACGTGCATGGTGAACATGGGAAAGAGGAAGCTTTCCTGGAGATACGTAGTAAATGAACCAGTCCCTTCACTGAAAGCGCCCGCTTTTTGACAGCTGGCCCCAACTTTTTAAACTCGACGTTCTATCGGTTTATTGCCATTCCTTATCTCGCAGTGGAGCGCGGCATTGAACTACTTCAGTCACTTGTCGCTTCATTGAATCGTAAAAAATCTGTTTTAGACATTTTTAATTACGAAATAATTGAAACATTTATTTTTCTTTCGTTCTTCAAGACTTCAAATGAAATGCTTCACCTTCTTCTTTCCCATTGCTGCATGTGTGAAAAATGGATCCAGATGGTGTAGACACTGCAATGTGTATTTGATGTCGGAATTTGAGTCGTGTAAGAAAGTAATAATATCTCCTTGATATTTTTGCTTGAAATACTTAGGGTAACAGGCTTTCACCTCTTAATATCATATAAATTTAATATTTGTGGGTTAATTGCCCACAAAAGCCAAGTACAATTACTTCATTGTTACGTAGTAGGTCCTATTTCGCGCACATTCGCGAAATAGAACTTTTTAGAATATTGTGAGATATATTCATAGTTTACCACAAAATAAAGAAGAAAGAATTGTTTATTTCAACCAACTAATACAATTGTAAACTTATCACTATGTGATCTTACGAGTTAAATTCTTAAATTTAAGAAACCCACCATCACTGTTTTATACGGTTATTCGGTATTACAACATTACAGCAAAACGAACATTACGTTTTATAACTCCAATCTTTTATTAGTTTATTTTTATTCGCTTCAACAACTTGGTTATTTGTGATTATTTCTGTTACAAATATAATACATCCGTATAAAAATGCAACAATCTTGTTTTGTAATAAGTCCCATGACATTATATATCTTATTACAATTTTCGTTACAATAAATTCATACAACATTTATTTCGTAAATAATAACCACTAGTGAGCTCTAATGTGGGCTACGATGGCGTAGAGGGGGGGGGGCTCGCCGTTCCAGAAATCCGGGATTCGTGTATTACGCGTTCTCGCAGGGGGCCGTGGGATGGAGGCGCATTGTTTGGGCGCTCATCTCCTGTGGGCGGCGACCCACCGACCGACGACGTCCCGAAAAGATGCGTTGGCCGTGCACCTTCCTCGGAACTTTCACGTCGTCACCTAGTTTCTAACCGCTCCATAAATCACGTTAAAATCGAAACTGTATTTCGGAAAACAGGTTTAGCAATAAATGTCCAGTTTTACTTTGAGCTGTTAGTACTCGCTTATTTGCTGAATATGGATATTAATAAACATTCGTATAATGCTTCATTGGAGTACTTGTAAAATAATGATAACGATTTTAGGTCATAAAAAAACTTTATTGGAACGGAAATACAGCATTCGATTTTAATGTGCCGTTAGATGTTCTCGGTATGAATTTCCAATACCGTAAACCGGGGTCACTTTGTGCCGCGCAGATGACGTTGTACCATCACACCTTTCAGGAAACTATTGCCTGGAACTATGTTGAGTTGTGTATACTGGAAGAGTTGGTGGATACATAATGCACCAGACGAATGGTGCAATTTATTACACCATTTAGGAAATTTATTCTCATTACTGCATTCACGCGTTTTTTAGTTCTTAGTTTTGCATCAATTGACGTTGTGCTCGTGTACTTCAGAAAATTTTAGTTGCAACTCTGAGTACAGTAACTTTACGAAAAAAAACAAGTGTACTGTTTTACAGCATTATTTATTAATTTAGAGCTGTGGTATCAACTCTCTGACTTTTTTAGACTTTTTTGTATTTGAGAGAGAAAAAACATAAATGGAAAAACAATAAATGAAAAATAAGAGTGTCTTTGTGCCAGTAGCTCTTGAATATTGCATGCAATATTTTTAAGTTTTTGACACTTCCCTTTATTTAAAATAACCATTGGGTTTCTTGTGAAAACGTAAAATTGTATGATTAACAATTAATGCAGTGATGATTCCTTCAGTAATAGCAGTCCAAATTGATTATCTTCTCAATTCATAACAGTAGGAGAATTTGTAATGGTGCAGTATGAAGGAGAGCTGTTTCCTGGACGAGTCACTGCCATTGAAAGTGATTCGGCACAAGTAAATGACTAGCAGAAATTCAAGGGGTTTTGTTTAGAATTGTGAAAATATAATCCAGGAAATAGAAATCCTGAGTTAAAATCAAAATGAAAACTCGTCGCTACTCCAGCGCTAAAACGCATTTGGGGGAAATGTTCTGTAGCCATTGCGAATGCCAAACTATTGATTAATAACTTTAAAAATATGTATTAAATACATTTTTAATCTCTGTGATACTGTTTGATTCATTCTCTTCTACAGAGTAATTATGAAGGAGTGAAACTGTGCTGCCACACGCATCGTGCAGCTTTGAACGACGCGCAATAAATGTAGTGTCATGAAATCGCGTGAAAATCAAATGGTTTGTTCGAAGACATTTATTTCAATAATTATCTCTGCATAAAATAGACAAAACAAGTCATTAAAATTTTTAAATAAGTTTTTAAAATTCTTATTCTATTGTAACTTTATTTAATTACATCACAAGTAAACAAGTCATGTATTAAAATCTTCCCAAAGTGGCACAAAGCCACCCCGGTACTTAAGATATTAATTCTCGCTTTCAGACTTGTAATTCCCACTTCTATGGATGAGTATAAAATGAGACTGCGTCGTAAGGTATTTTATACTTCATGTGCCTTTTCCCTACTGCTTTTTCATTTAGGATGTTTCTCGCATCTTATTCAGTGGTTGTTAAAGGTGTCTAGCTTAAAATTATTTAGAAATTAAATTGAGTAGAAAATACTGAATGATCATGCATACAATTGCTAATAAGAAAATTGATTAATGGAAAATGTAATTCCCTTAAATATTAATTTGTATACATTATGATTTCGCTAGTAAATAGTCCCATCATAACGTAGTACTTCGTATGTATACATCACAAATGAATAGACCTATTCATTCACGGTACCACTCATCGGAGAATATGGTCTCCCAAATACGTCTCACAGTCTATTCAACATATGAAAAGAAAACAAAAATCCCCGTCGCCCATCATTGTGTTTTGTGAGTTGTAACTTATTGTGCCAGAGTGAAGTTCTGAAAAGCATTTTGCGACGCATAAGTAGCAGTGAGAGCGGGCTCTCCAGCTTAAGATACTTGAAGTTGTTTAATAGCTGTCTCAAATTTACACCAATGTTATTGCAGTAATAAAATATTATCAATAATACTTATAATAATTGAAATAATAATGTAGTAATATTCTTTCTTCATTGTAATTTAGTAGCAATTTTAAGAAACGACAGATTTTTCTAATGTTGCCCATTTAATGTTGAAATTAGAGAACAAACTTCTGATAAAAGATATATCTATATTCTTAGACAAATATAAAATATGAAGAAATATAAATGACGTTCGAAGTTTGTATTAAGTAATATCCAACTATGATATACACAATTTTAAGACTTGATATTAAAGAATTTCATAGCATGTTAGTTCCGCCCAATATCTCATAAGTGAAGCACTAGAAATATTATGTTTTTCGAATATTTGGACTATCCTCCACATCTACAGTTCGAAGACGTCGTGCCGCTTGTGTTTTGTTGACAATTTCTGTGGTTGTAATGCTCTCACAAAGTACATGAATGGGAATAATAATTTGGTTATCAGATATTAAGTATTATTTAAAAAAGAATACCGAAATTGCTTCATCCGGGTTTAAATTGTTTACTTAGTACGTCATTCACTACAAATAAATAAACAAACTGTATTACGCCATACTTCGTCGCTAGGCCGAAGGCCTTGACACAATCACACTCGAAACCTATATCCTACGATGTTCTAAACTTTCAAATCCTGGAATTGGCACTTCTGATAGATTCTCCTTCCCATCGAAGTGCGCAAAAGAGAGCGCATTGTGCGTGCGAGGAGGAAACCCCTGAAGGGGAAAGCAATATTTGTCCCAAGACGAATACATACAAATCCAGCAAACTCTTTCTACACTAATACTTACAAGGCATGTGCGCCAAATGTTTTGTCTATCCGGACTTCGAACCTTTTATGCCTATTTATAACCAAATGCGTATTAAACATAATAACTTTCTGAACAATAGTCAACTAAAAGGCACAACTGGAAGCACGTGCGTGTAACGAGCAAAACCTCCAAATCCCCCGTACTCAGCTTGCGTGGGAGCTTTCGCCCTCCCGAATACGTCTCGCCTCCCACACGCGCGCTGAGGGACGGCTCGGCGGAGCGGCGGTGTCGCCTGCCACTGTGTTGTGACGTCTCGCCAACGCGGACGGGCGACAGTCCGCGACACTCGTGGGCCGCAGCCCAGTGGTTTGGACTATGCACAAAAAGAAAGAAAAGATGAGAGAGAGCACAACTTTGTGTCTTAATTTTTTATGATTAAAATATACACGGGATAAAAGGTAATTGTTGTCCCTTGTTATTTTTTTAGCTTTTTGTCCGTTAATGAACAGACGGACTGCACACCTTAGCTATTGTACGAGTGAATTCACTGGATTTTTATTTTCTTCTTTATTTACTTTTTAATGTTATTTATTATAAGAAACACACAGCTGTTATGTTCTTTGTTTTAAGTATTTTTTGAAACTAAGTCTTTTAGGAAGAATATTACATTATGTAAAAAAAAGAGTGTACATTTGTGTAACATGTAATTTGTTTTAATATAAAAAACATTTATGAATCTTTCATTTAACTTCTTATAACTAAGAATCGTCCCTTGTATGTACCTCCCATTGATTAAAGTACTACTCCGGCGTCCACCATGAAATTACCACAGGACACCGCGAAAATAACAGCTTTTGGCATCTTCTGACACATCAAGCTATTTACTCGGTAACGAAGATGCTCCACCGTTGAGACTCAAAACTAGGTCCCTTCCTATATGCGAGAGTTCAGTTACGAATTTTGTTTTCTTGAAAGAAGGAATTTTTTACCGCGGTTGTATCAGTTCTGCCCATCGTAAGATGCCGCGCCGCCT